TGAAAGGCTACAGAATACGCCCTCAAACATCTTAAATAAAGAAAAAAAGGAAGGTTCGATGGGTGTAATAAGCAAAGACCTCTGTCGTTTAAATCCGCTAACCAAAGAACAATGGGCCTTATCGACAACGAGTTTTCAGCGTTTTGGAGGCAGAAGACTGAGAAAAAGCAACAACAAACACTTTTCATTCACTGGTAAAATTAATCGTAAAGTTACGAAGAAATTGAAAACAATAGATCCGTAAACTTACGACCCTAAGTCGTTCTAGGGAGAACGAATAAGCAACCGTTCACAAACAACAAATGTCATCTACTATCAATACGGATAAATCATCGTTCCAATACGATCAGTTCGTAGAAATACAATGGAACCATATCAAAATGAACAAATCGTAAAGAAAAGATATGCCTTCAAAAACAAAATTAATGTCGTTCTTCAACGACATAATTTAAAAAACTCGTCTCAGATATAATGTTCCTAAAACCGCGAATAATTATTAAAATTGAGGAGTCTTGATGGTAGGGACTGCTTTGATAGCAGACTGAAAGTCACTCTTTCAGTCAAGAAATCAGTCAACCATGCAGTTCATGAAGTCATGGAGAAGCCCTCACATGAAATCACTTACAGTTTAAAAGCCTCGAGGTGTGATGTGACGGGTGAATGCGGCTAGGGGGAAATGATTTATCCAAATCCATTCTGATGTTGTGCTGCTTTTCGCCAGGGCGTCCATCTTGTAGTCAGGTGTAAAATCCTTGTTCACTGTTCACTTCACTGGAAGTTCTGCCACAAAACTTTCGTCCCCAAATGCGTCATGGCATAATAAACAGCGGTGGGACATCACGTAAGTCACTTAAGTCCAAGTCCAAGTACATAACAACAGTCGAGATGGCTGGACTCTTTTGGTCACCGTTGTTTTGCTAAGTCTTTAGGGGGGACATCACTCCAAAATGATAAAAAATCGCAACTTTTTTTTATTAGTTCATACTAAAGACCATTCTTTTCTGCGTCGAATGGCAAAAACCGCATTCCGAAATTCAAAAAATTGCAGTTTTGGAAGGCTGTGGGCCGCAAACATGCATAGGGGAAAAGCCCAGTTTCCCCAACTTTGACCGCGTTTTTCTCGGAACATGAAATTGCAAACGGTTGCAGGCCTCTAGGGCGCAGTTTTTGAGCTACAGGGGGGAGATTTAGCATGGAAGCTCCTACGACATGCCGCTATGGTGGGTAGCAAAATAAATTGCATTGGTCAATTTTTATTATTTTTTTAACGTTCAAAATTAAACAATTTTGACCCAAAAAATTGAACAATTTTTTTTGGCATGAAACAAATACAACTTAAAATTATTTTTTAAATGTGATTGAGGTACCCACCATAGCCAGACATCTCAGGAAGGCTGTCATCAAATTTCGTTGTTCTAGGTCAAACCGTTTGGCGTCCAGCGCTGCAACCGTGCGAAATGGTCTAACCTTACACTCAAAAATGCGTTTTCAACGAAAGCGCTGTACTGCCCTGGCGGATTGACAAAGTGTTGTTTAATACTTAATCTGTTAAAATATGAACAATTTTTCTCTTTCCGTTTGGTTTTTATGACGTTTTTACAAAAGCACTGTTTTTGGAGTAATGTCCCCCCTTAAGGCACAGGAGTCAGAAGAAACGATACTACCATGAAACGTGAGAATCACTCTTGTATGTTCCTGGAAATTTTCATACCGGAACGACGTGCGGGACACTTAGTGAAGGGGATAAATGCGCATCAGTGCGCTAAAAGTGGCCATCACTGGGCACCTTACCCTACATATTCCAGACTGAAAACTACTATAGGGATAATTGGGTTGGGAACCCGTGAAAGGCTACTGAAAACGCCCTCTAATACCTTAAATAAAGAAAAAAAGGAAGGTTCGATGGGTGTAATAAGCAAAGACCTCTGTCGTTTAAATCCGCTAACCAAAGAACGATGGGCCTTATCGGCAACGAGTTTTCAGCGTTTTGGAGGCAGAAGACTGAGAAAAAGCAACAACAAACACTATTCATTCACTGTTAAAATTAATCGTAAAGTTACGAAGAAATTGAAAACAATAGATCCGTAAACTTACGACCCTAAGTCGTTCTAGGGAGAACGAATAAGCAACCGTTCACAAACAACAAATGTCATCTACCATCAATACGGATAAATCATCGTTCCAATACGATCAGTTCGTAGAAATACAATGGAACCATATCAAAACGAACAAATCGTAAAGAAACGATATGCCTTCAAAAAACAAAATTAATGTCGTTCTTCAACGACATAATTTAAAAAACTCGTCTCAGATATAATGTTCCTAAAACCGCGAATAATTATTAAAATTGAGGAGTCTTGATGGTAGGGACTGCTTTGATAGCAGACTGAAAGTCACTCTTTCAGTTAAGAAATCAGTCAACCATGCAGTTCATGAAGTCAAAGCCCTCACATGAAATCACTTACAGTTTGAAAGCCTCGAGGTGTGATGTGACGGGTGAATGCGGCTAGGGGGAAAAGATTTATCCAAATCCATTCTGATGTTGTGCTGCTTTTCGCCAGGGCGTCCATCTTGTAGTCAGGTGTAAAATCCTTGTTCACTGTTCACTTCACTGGAAGTTCTGCCACAGAACTTTCGTCCCCAAATGCGTCATGGCATAATAAACAGCGGTGGGACATCACGTAAGTCACTTAAGTCCAAGTACATAACAACAGTCGAGATGGCTGGACTCTTTTGATCATCGTTGTTTTGCTAAGTCTTAAATAACAACCTGCCGTCATTCTTAAACTCTCTGATATATCTGATATATACCCTAACCCTTTGAACTTTTCTTCTGTTTTTGTATAAAATGTATTAATTGTAATTTTTTCCATTATCATGTCCCTTTTGGTTTGCTTTCCTTCACTTTCTTTTGCTTAGCAGGGACGCCTTTTCAACCAGCCCTCCACTGCTTCACTGCCCATCTTTATCAATGGAAGTAATTTCTCAAGCCTTGCTCGCAGTCTTCAAGTGTTTGGTTAAGCATGAGACCTTTCTTGACTAATGTCTTCTCAATTGTTATTTTCTGTGCTTCTTATATGTTGTGAATAAAACAGTGAAGCCTGTTGTTAACTGTGTGTTTTTCAGTAAGAGTAATCAACTAAGTTTTTGCATTAAATCATTCTTGAAAATTTGTGCAGCATATCAATACATTTCGAGCAAACGAAAAATTTTAAAAACAAATGTAAAGCATTCTTCTTCCAAAAAAAATTAAGAAAATTTTTCACAAGGTTTAGAGGCAGAGGAAAGAAACCAACCAAAAGTCAGAATTACTAGCATACCTTTAATGATCAGATAGCAGTAGTCCAAAGGAATGACTCACAGAGCTAGAAAGATAAGTTGAGCTGTTAGAAAAAACAAAACATTTTAAGTCGAGATTTACTGGCCTCAAATGACCAGGTACAATGTTTCATTTAAAGTGGATGATAGGACAAAATCTATAAACCGTCTCCTCTTTTAAAATAAACAAAACAGAAAGAAAGATAAATTGATTTTCACAGCTGATGGAACTGGTTGCCCAGTTAAAAATAATGACAATCACACAAAAACAAAAAAGAGAAATTTACTTAGAGAATCTATTAAGGGGGGACATCACTCCAAAATGATAAAAAATCGCAACTTTTTCTTATTAGTTCATACTAAAGACCATTCTTTTCTGCGTCGAATGGCGAGAACCGCATTCCGAAATTCAAAAAATTGCAGTTTTGGGAGGATGTGAGCCGCAAACATGCATAGGGGAAAAGCCCAGTTTCCACAACTTCGATCGCGTTTTTCTCGGAACATGAAATTGCAAACGGTTGCAGGCCTCTAGGGCGCAATTTTTGAGCTACAGCGGGGAGATTTAGCATGGAAGCTCCTACGCCATGCCGCTATGGTGAGAAGCAAAATAATTTGCATTGGTCAGTTTTTATTATTTTTTTAACGTTCAAAATTGAACAAATTTGACCCAAAAAATTGAACAATATTTTTTTGGCATGAAACAAATACAATTTTAAATGATTTTTTTAAATGTGATTGAGGTACCCACCATAGCTGACATCTCAGGAAGGCTGTCACCAAATTACGTTGTTCTTGGACAAGCCGTTTGGCGTCCAGCGCTGCAACCGCGCGAAATGGTCTAACCTAACACTAAAAAATGCGTTTCCAACGAAAGCGCTGTACTGCCCTGGCGGATTGACTTAGTGTTGTTTTATACTTAATCTGTTAAAATCTGAACAATTTTACTCTTTCCGTTTGGTTTTTATGACGATTTTACAAAAGCACTGTTTTTGGAGTGATGTCATCCCTTAAGCTAACTCTCCACATCATCAATTTGTTTGTTGTTGTTCTTAACAAACCAATGCATGAGAAAAAAATTCTTGCCGTCATTAGGTCTTACCATGTGGAACAGCACGTACTTTAGGAAGAGGAATACAAAAAGCATAAAAATTAAATAAGTATAAGATACAAAAAAGAGGATGGACACATTGCTTTAAAATCAAAATCTTTTTACAAAATTAATATTAATCTTACATCAAATGGTTCTTAACTGAGAAGCGCTGCCTTTGATTATGCACATTCACTGGTTGAGTAACTGGATGCGTTAATTCTGATGCAGACACCCACAAGTACCGTCCACTTGGACGTATTGGTAAATAAAATAAACCTTCTTCTGTGCACTTCCTTGCTTCATGAACTTCAAGTAAATAGTAAACAGAATTTGATCTGGAACCAATAACCTTGATGAAGCCTGTTTGAACATTTCTTCCTTCTCTTGAAAGGAGGAGAAGATCTTTCAAATTGTATTCCAGTCTGTTGACAACGATGCCTTTGGATGACCGCCAATCTTGTTCCAGGTTCAGGTTTTTTAAGAATTGGCTCACTTCAGCCTCAAAATTAGACTGATGTAAATACTTTGGTTGAAATTCAGTGAAGCCTTCAGAGATCATCGGTCCTGATGATAAGCAGCAAATATTAAGTTGTTATCTCGCAGCAGAAGTTGCCTCTGGATTGATAAGGTTTTTAGACATTCTCATCACATCCTTGAAAAACTTATGCTTTTGTTCATATGATAGTGTCCAGAAATACAGAAGTGTTCCATATTGTAATATTAATCCTGGATTTTCAAACATGAAGTGATGCTTGGGTTTCAGACGGTACATGTAGCCTTTAAGCACTTGAGATCTTCTGTGGAAAAAGAGAGGAACGAGAATGTCTTGGATGTATGCTATGTCAGTCTTCTTCAAAGATGGGGCGCAAAAGTATTCGCAGAGCTCTTTAAGTTGCAAGTAAAGCAGCCATCCTGGATCTTCAAGGTCTTGGATTTTATGTCCTATGATGAAGGGTAAAAGCCGAAGCAAAGTCCAATTTTGGTCAGCGTGTCCCCCAAGCTTCTTTCCACTATCAGGCACACAGGCTGGCTTATTGGGAATATCACCACTCAAACATTGAAATTTTTTGATCCTGCGGTTTAAAAGCTTGTAGGAAAAATACTTCTTCTTTTTGACAAAGCGTGATATTATTCCAGCCAGATCCCAAGATACAACACCTACAACCAAGTCATGAGCTACACAAGGAACAAGGTGAGTGGTAGCATGAAAGTGTTTAAGACCATGGAATGCTGAATCTGCCTTTATGCCTTGACAATGCTTACCAGTGATCTCTGCTTGCTGAACACACCGCTCATAATCCTGAATGCTTCTTTTGGGTTCAGCATGGGTAGGATCTGCCCGAAACACAGCTTTTGTAATTGGGCAATATCGATAGAAGAATGAACCTGAGAAACACTCAATAAACCCTCCGATAATATGCTGGCCAAGATTGTCTCCAAGCATGTACTGGACACAAACTTTGATTTTTTCGCAGCCCTTGTACAAGATGCCTTCAGCCTCTAGCTTCTTGAATTGATCAATGGCCCTCTTTAAGCACCTGGTTGGCCCAATTTTCTTGAAGATGGATTCCTTCACCATTAAGATTGCATACTTTGTGTCAATTCTGGATCGGATGTGAGGCCTATAGTTGCCAAGAGTAAAGTACATGTTGAGTGATTTAAATTTGTTCTTAGCAGACCCCAATCCATTCATCACAACATTTACTGCATCCTGATAAACAAGGTAGGTGTACGCCAGACTGTGTCTTAACGTAACAGGCTTCGCGATGCTGCGCTAGTTTCCAATCCACGTCTGGCGTATACACCTACCTTGGCCTGCGGCGCTAACCTGCCTTCGGCAGGCTGCCTTTTGTAGGCTGCCTTCCTTGGCAGACCGTGGAAAAGGGCGTGATCCCCTCATAAGGAGCATTTGGTCACAAAAAAATACACTAATGGGGCTAAACTTTAGGACGGAGGTCTGAATGGGTTCTATTTTCGTCACCAGCAGCCTCAAAAACATTTAAAACGACATGAAACTTGACTATAAGATGAAAGTTCCAAAAAAGTTGTCTTTTCCTGCCGTTTTTAGTGTGTTTTTTGGCTAATACAACCGAAAAGATTGAGATAGAAAGCTGAATTTTGGTGTGTGGCGAGCCAAGGATATGCCTAATGACCCTGCAGAATCTCAGCAGAATCGGCCCAGTTGTTTAGGAGGAGTAGTGTGGAAACACAGACACACATACAGACAGACAGACAGACAGACAGACATGAAAAACTTTTCAACCCGACCGGAGTAACAGGCTTTGCTAACGCTCAGCCAACAAAAAGGTGTATTTCTCTTGGTGCATGGTCTTAACTCAAAAACTGGCTTCCAGATGTATAATCAGATATAACTGTATTATCATCTTGTTGACGAGTAACAGAAGCATCTATTTCCTTTTGAAAAGATGGATCTTCCAACAATTTTGTAAGGGTTACTTGGAGGCAAATAAACTGGTATTTCTCATCAGATGTAATATCGTCTTCGTTGAGATTTACTTCAGTAGGAGGTAGGTAACCAAAGTTAACACGAAAAAAATTTTCCCGTAAAAAGTCACTTGTGAGAGACGGGCCAGGAGCTGTCTTGTAATGAGTGGTAAACAGTGGATCAGCTAGCTTCATGTTGTGACAAATATTTCTTCTCTTGTCTTCATCGACACCAAGTTTCTCCAACTCTGAATTTAAAAGTAAGTTTAGTCTTCTTTGAACAACATGAGACAAAAATGCAATGTCGTGACAGATTCTTTGAATCAATGAAGCTGGAAGCAGATCCACAGCATAGAGATTTAGGTAAAACTTTGCAATAGTATCATACACCAGTTCATCATTAAGTAAATCAGAATTCAAGCTTTCCTCAAAGAAAGGCAACTGCTCATCAGTGGGCAGGTTCTCTTCCATACTGTCTACATAAGCATCAGCAAACTGACCATCATTGTCAGCATATTGAACATTACCTTCAACAGAAGCTTTGAAGCGTTCTTTTGGACAACCTTCTGCTTTCCAATTCTTGTGGTATTGACTTAGATGGACACGGAATGTAAAAACGGCTTTGAAGACCTTAGGAAATTGGCAACCTGCTATAGGGCATCCAACACAAACATTTTCATACAAATGTTTGCACAAATGTTGAACAAGCTCCCACATGGATGTGGTAGAGAAACAATTTTCAGCTTTACAGTAAGGGCATACCAGTACTTTTGTTGTGGCTGGATCCCGGTGTCCGAATTCACGATGAAACACTGACACATGAAACTTAAGGCGTCCATACGATGTGGTATCAAACAAACAGGTCTCCACTGGACAGTTGAATTTGAAATTTCTACTGAGGGAATGAATTCGCTGATGACGTATGCTGCTGGCGATAGTTTCTGGAACTGTGGAGCATAGCTTGCAAGGAAAGGGTCCAGGATTCAACTCGACTCCACCTATGATGAGTAAAATGACGATCACTGCACTGCATAAACTCATCAGAAGAATTGAGAGGACGTTTGTTCCTTTAACATTTGAAGACTCGGTCAAATTCCTGGCCCCGGCGTACTGGCCAATTCTGGCCTTCCACTGTTCCACAGATACACCCATTTAAAAATCTGAAAAAGAAAAATAAAAAAATAATCTTGTTTTATGATGTTATGATGCAGAGTGAGAAAACTGAATTTGTGATTTTTTTAACAGCACGACTAACCTTGATGAAGCACTATACAGTTAGAGTTACAGCAACATAAAATTACTCAGACCACATTAGGGTCTTAATAAATCTAAAAAATAAGGTCAAAATTAAAATATTGAACACAGAAGCAAGTTGCAGTAGCGATGACCTAACCTCCTACCTGTGGTAATCGACACTTCAGAAAAGATCACATGCAAATTAACTCCCACCAGGGACAGCAGCAGAAAATTTCATGATTGGGAAAACTTAGGCGTACCAAAAGCACCCAAATCACATTGAAAATCTGTCTGAAAACTCTTAATTTACGGGCAGGGGGAATGCCTTTCCGCGTTAAGAATTTGGAATACTCCTTAAAAGACGAAAAAGAAGAAGTAGTCAAACAGTTAAGCATCGGAGAGTGCGCATGCGCGCGCGGGCCATCGACGCGTTACCGTTTCAACCTGCAGCTCAAACCGCCAAAATTCATCAACGACTTTGCGCTCTTAGATTGATTTGTCGTGCCTTTGAATCGTAAATTTGGTCAAAATCAAACAAATTTGTGGTAAGTTGATTAGGGATTAGTTGGATTGGTACATTCATCAAGTCCTATGGTAAAGTTGAGCTTAAATTTTCAGAAATATGGAGTCAAGCAACCAAGATTTGAGGGATACCCTCACACTCAACATCCAAAGTATCTTGGCACACATTTCGGAAGATAGAGTGCGTGATCTCGTTGAATTTCTTATAAGTAAAGGCGTCAAAAGAGAGATTGATCTTCGGCGTATAACAGTTCCCGTTCTTGAGGGCCATTTAAACGATTTCATTGATGCCAGCGACCTGCATGAGAAGTGGCAGAAGTGCTATGGTAAGTTCATTGTTTCTCACCGTTTGCTCTTCCCAACTGTTTGACTTCCGTTCAAATAATTGTTTACACCTAAAAACTCATTTTACAGGGTCCTCAAAAGTGCCGGAACAGGCAGGAGACAGAGGTTAGTTTAAATACGTCACTTCACTTGTTTGGTTATTGTACCTAAACTTCTCACTAATATTGTCTAAATTCTTCCACAGCGCCATCCAAAACTCCTCTGGCGACACAACCTAATTCTAATGCCAGTGAGTAAACACAGTTTTCTGTTTTTTCTCAATTACTCATTGGCTGAGCGATAGCGAAGCCCGTTACTCCAGTGGGGTTGAAAAGTTTTGTCTGTCTGTCTGTCTGTCTGCGTGCGTGTGTGTGTGTGCACTACTCCTTCTGAACGGCTCGGCCGATCTGGCTGAGATTTTGCAGGGTCATTAGATATGTCCTTGGCTCACCACACACCAATATGCAGCTTTCTATCTCAAACCATTCGGTCATATTAGCCAAAAAACACTTCAAAAACGGCAGAAAAAAGACAACTTTTTTGGTACTTTCAACTTTTTGTCAATTTTCATATCGTTTCATATGTTTTTGAGGCTGCTGATGACGAAAATAGAACCCGTCCGGGCCACCGACCGAAAGTTACATCCCATTGGTGAAGATTTTGATGACCAAACACTATTTTTTGAGGGGATCACGCCCATCTCTACGGCCTGCCTAGGGAAGCAGCTTGCCGGAGGCAGGTTAGCACCGCAGGCCAAGGTAGGTGAATACACCAGGCGTGGATGGTCGAAACTGGCGCAGCATCGCGAAGCCTGTTACGACCAGACACGGTCTGGCGTACACCTACCTTGTTTTAATTCAATATGTGGAGGTATTTTAATTTTATTTTATAGGACCGAGCAGTGCTGGCTCCTCGCAGTTATCATCAGCCTCTGGGCGTCAGGGAAGGATTCCATTGGCCCTGACATTGCCGCAAGACAAAATGCCTGAGTTTGACAAAAACTCTCCTTACATGCCTTCTGCAGTGAAGCAGGCTATTGATCGGGGGTTAAGGCCTTCAGCAGCTGCAAGAGCACAGATGGTGGATCGTATCGTAGACCACTGTAGGGAGACTGTCCCTAATATGGATCGGACCATGTTTAATCCAGTGGCTCTCAAACTTGTTCAGGCATATCCCTCATCTTTCCAAGATACTGTCCTAATTAGTAGTCATGGCAGTGATAGCTTGGCCAAACAGTTTCGGGATAAATTTGACAACGATAAAAGGCCTGACACTCCTACTCCCAAAGAAAAAGAAGCACCTGCTGTCAAGGAAGCTTATGAGTGCTTGCATTGTAATCCCCCCCTTCCTGAGGGACCGACCATGTGAAGATTCTCAAGAAGATAGCCGAGAAGTCCTGAAAGGGATCCACTCTTTGTCCCGAAAGGAGTGGGAATGGAAACTTATAAAGAAGCACATGGATGAGTCATATTACCTTCAAAGAAAGGAAATAAGTGGTGAATTGGCTGTTGCAGCCAAGACTTCTAAGAGTAAGAAGAGGAAAAGAACGGAAAATTAAGACCAAACTGAGGATGACCCGTAAGACCCTAAAGTGACCATCTCAGACTTGAAGAAGGACTGGCCCTTCCTTTTCACTTGCCATGGTATGAATTATCACTTCATAAATATAACTGGCATTGATTTTGGAAGCAATGTATTCGACTTCGTGCAGGAGGACTGCACATTAATGATAGAATTTCTAGCTGGCAAAGGCGCTGAGCTAGCCAAATTGAAAATGGATATGGTGAGGGCTGAGCGTATTGGTGCCACCAGTGCTAAACTTCCAACTATTCTCCACATGTTGATCAAATCTCTTAAAGATGATTTTACTTTTTTCATTAGATATGTAGAGGTAGGTTCAAATGTATCTAGACACTTTTCTTTTGTGTAACTTTTAACTTAAATTTCTAAAATATCTTTTCCAGAGTACTACATTATTTGAAGAAGTAAGAACATCTGTCAACCCCCCAAGCACTCCAGTGCTTATTGCTGCAGGTAAGAAAATCTGTTTCAACCTAAAACATTTATTGATCCTTTGCCCACCTTTCTAAAGTGTGCTCCTGCTCCACAGGGTCCAACCTT